TACTACAAAGAGGGCATTAATGAAGTAACCTTAGGGAAGATGGTAAGGATAGATGATACGGAAACTTGTTATAACCAACAATCACATCTAAGTATAAGACAGTATATATTCTTATAAGAATACTTACACAAGAATGTAAAATCTCCCCTTAACTCAAAAGTCAAAACAAAACTATATAAGTAATGTCAAGTGTGTTGTTAATTCAAAGGAACCAAATATACATCCTTTATTTATTGTTGTATTGAGTTGTGATGGCTTGAAGATAGGCCAAATCTAAAGACTTTTTTGGGATGTAAAGAAGGTGAAGGTTTTATTTCATTTTATTTGAAATTTTGTTTCTTTTTTGTAAGACTTCCAGTGGACAGAAGGCAAAGAGGCATGGGAGGATGCGGGGAGGAAAGGCCTTACAAGCAGCCTTTATAAAATTTACAATGCCCATTATTCTGACTTTTCACTCTTTATAGGTAACTCAGTTGTGTCTCTTTTTTGATCCTGCTTGGCTTGACATACCATGAAAACTTAGGATAGATTTCATTATGGAGTTCTGTTTGTTTCAGCAGCTATTGAGTAAAATGCCTCTGCAGTCTTATCAGTGGACCTTAGATTTAGAAAGAACTCTTGCATTAGGTTCTCTAGCCTACCAAGGACATAGCCAATTTAATAAACAAATGTCAACACAAAAATAGTAGAGGATAAAGTAGATTTTTAGGGACCCTCTTAGAGTTTCCTGAGCTCTGAAGTTAGATAGACTTCAGTTGGACTCCTTATAACTATGTTGAGGACATTTGTTACCGCTCATGGTGATCACGGGAACATCTTTCTCACCTGTCTGCTGTGAGGTTAAGTGGAGATAGGAAGCCTGATCATATTGCTATAGGAATGTATGTGGATTGTATGCCTTGCTTGTGTGGAGTTTGAAGTAATCATCAAATCACATAAGCTGTATTGTGGGCTGTAGTGATACCTCAGAGGAGTGGTTCTAAGACTTTTAGTATGAAAGACTCTTCAGGAAATCTTATTAAAGTGAAGGTTCTTGTTCTATCTTCAGAGACTGATTCAGCAGATCAGGGGTGGAGCACAGGAATGTACATTTTTAACAAGCACTGAGGATAATTCTGATGAGTGGGATCACACTTTGCAAAATACATTTTGGAGGCTGTGGGTAGAAGCTCTTTGAACCTGAAACTTTAATAGCCTGGTTGGGTGAGTTTTCATGGCTCATCTTTTAACAGTAATTACTATGGGAATGTAAACATTGACCACAAAATTCTCATTGAGAAAAATCATTCAAGAATAGCAATGTAAGATTGGGTAAATATCCACTAATTTTTAGAAATATGCATATGACTTATTAAAAGTAGTTTACCAAAAATGAGCTTAATGTTTGAAATAAAAATAGGAAAGAAATTCTCTTAGACACATCAACATTCAAAGTTAATAAACTTTTGAGTATTTCTTTAGCAAAGGAAACAAATAGGTAGAGACCAAGACCTAGCATACAAAGAGACTTTCTGCATCATCTCTCCTATACTTGAGTCTGGGTGCCATTAGTGAGAGTACTCTGGTTCATCTTGATTGTCCTAGTGATATGAGGATATGTGATATATAAAGTAATCAAACCACATGGGGTAGAATATTAAGAACCATTGTTAAGTAAGAGGATGGAATTAAATAGAAGGAAACAAGTCAGGCATTTGGTCTTGGTATTTCCTGTTGTTAGTGCTAGAATAGTTTACTTTTTATGTTAAAATACAACAAACCTAATTTCTCCTCTGATAGTTATACAGTATAATACACATATACATATGTACCCGCATACATACACATATACATATATAGAACCATATTTGATGGCCAAAAAGGAAGAGGCCCCAAGGGCTCTTTAGTGTGCAATTAATATTATGGTCAGAAAATCAGCAGATTGTTTCAGTATGGTTATGTGTTATGACATCATATTCCAGTAAAGTCATAATGAACAGAAATTTTGTTTGTCTCTGTGGCAAACCGAAATGAGTTTTGTAATTGTCACCAGGCCTTAGTGATTATAGTGGCGCCCACTCCCTCTACTGTAGTTAAAGGTCTGTTAGCATTCCACTTGTGGACCTCTGTTTTCAGAAGTGTATAATTAATTGTAAACATTTGCTCTATGGCGAAAGCTTGCCATAGAAGATCTTATATAGGAGTAAATTTCTGATTTCAGGTTGTATGTTTTAAAGTTTTAAAGTGGAATGAGTTAAAAATATGCACAAAGTTCTGTGTAGTGGAAATCTGAATTTTGCGGTATATACAAAATGAAGATAGCCTGCATTTGTGATACTAGTCCGTTAAGATATCTGCACTAAGGGGATTTGAAACAATAGGAAAGCACACCTCAGGAATGCAGGAGATTGTGCCCTTCCATGTACTGCTTATTGTAATCAAAGAGCAAAACAGATTGTGGTTTTTAATGCTTTTTAGTCTTTGCATATTAAAAGTCTTTCACCATAAGTGATTTTTTTCTTCCTTTAACTTTTTTATATTTGCCAATTAAAAATGAGAACATATGACATAATAAAAACACATTTAAAATATTTTATCTTAAAACAAAGTAATAGAAAACTGGGCCAAGAAAACTGACTTTAAGAATTTGAAACAGTGAGTGTCTCTTTTTTCTCATACCCCGGATTTCTCCATGACGTTTGACACTATTGATTACCCTGACGTTGTGCTGTAATTCTTTCCTAACTGTGACCCTCTTTCATCTCCTTCACTGCCGTCTATTATTTCCCCTGCCTTTTGATCACAGGCCTCAATCAGATCCCAGCCTCAGGCTCTCTCTCTTTTTTTTTTTTTTTTTTTGGTTCCTTTACACTTACCCTTTCCAGGTGCTTATTCACTCACATGGTTTCAATTACTGCCTCTCAGACCTGCATCTGCAATGCTGATGTACCTTTCTAGTCCTTTACCTTCTGTAAACCTTCACTGATTAGTCCCATCTGCCTGCTGAATTCTTACACAGTGGCCTCTGTCTGCCTTATCACTGCTCTTTGGATGTCCAGTCATCATCCAGAACTTAGTAGGACTTCAATTGGATTTCTCTTTGCTTGGAAACAGACATTTTTCAGCACTGGAGTGATTTTTAACTTAATTTGTTGGCATTCCATTGTAAATCCACCATTGCATCAAAATCAGTCCATTTCCTTTTGCTGTATTGCCCAGTTCACTGATCTTAGTTCTCAGTCATCATTTTACTTGAGTCCAGACTCAGAAATCTGATTATTCATTTGACATCTCCACTTGGATGTCTAAACAGGCTGAATATTTTAATATCTCCAGACCATAGCGGCTGATACCCATGCCCAACAAACAAATCCTTCTGCAGTCTTCACTAGTTCATTATATAGGTACTCTGTCTTCCACTTGTTCAGCTGAGAAACCCTCAGATCATCCTTGACTCCTCTCTCATATTCTATATTTAATCCTTAGGTAAACCCTATCAGCTCTCTCCTTTTTTTTTTTTTCATTTAAAGATTTTATTTTCTTATTGAGAGAGAGAGAATGCATGTGCATGGGGGTAGGGAGAGGGAGAGGGAGAGAAAATTTCAACCAGACTCCCTGCTGAGCATAGAGCCCAATGTGGGGCTTGATCCTCAGACCCTGAAATCATGACCTGAGCCAAAATCAAGAGTTGAATGGTCAATTGACTGAGCCACCTGGATACCCCTCCCCCCCATTAGGTCTTCTTGCTTCCATTATCATTCACCTACAGTCTGTTCTCAACATAATAGGTAATCCCTGCAAAATGCAAGTCAGATATGTCACTTCTCTTCCAAACCTTCTAGTGGCTGGCCACTTCACTCAGAGTAAAAGTCAAATCCTTACAATGATTTCTAGGTAAGGCCCTATGGAATCTGGCTACTTCTTTTCATTTCTTAACTTTCCTTTCTAATTCTCTAAAATAAAGCCAGATAGGCATCTTCTGAATTACTTGAATGTGCTTGGCACACTGCTGCCCCAGGGCCTTTGCATTTGCTGTTTTCTCTGCCTCAGATGCACTGCTCCTGATATCTGGGTGACTTCCTTCCTCACTTATTTTAGGTCTTTACACAATTGTAATTTTCTCAATGAGACCCTCCCTGGCCATCCTGTCTAAAACCCACCACCCTAACACTTCTGACTTTTTCTTCTTTTTCTGTGTAACTTAGATCTCTAATATACTATATGTTAGTATACTAGAATACCAGATATTCTGCATATTCCCTTATTTATTATCTGTCTTACCCAGTTTAGTGTCATTGCATATCCTCTTAATTGCATCTTCTTAATTTCTAATAGTTCTTTCTTCATTTAGCTCTTTTATCCCCTCATATTTGCATCACAGCTGCTTTCTAGTTGTGACTCCTTACCTCAGTCTTGTTAAGCACAAATCTGCTAAAAATTTTCTCTTTAAGTACATTTTATTATAATATTGCCTATCTGCTTAAGAATTGGCTTACCTTCCCGTTCTTTCTTATGTTCAAACTGATCTTTTTATCACTTAGCAACGTACTTATTCTTATTCCTTTGGGAGGGAGTAGTAGCTCTATCTCTCTGCCCCTCCCATGTGTAGCCATACTGTCTTCTGCTGAAGTCACAGTCATCTGCATACTGTCACCTAAATGGGCTCGCTCATCTCCTGCCTCTGCTGTGGCTCCCCTCCTTTAGCACCACACCATTTGGGTTCCATCTGTCAAAATCTGACTGAAAACTCTTACTAAAAGTTTTTTGTGATATAATTGAATAGTTTTTACTATATTATGTTTAATACTGTTTTTTCCATGATATGCTTTTCATGGAGAAATATATCTATAGATATATTGACTCCTGTTTTACCTTTTATAAATACGTTCGTGAGTTTAATACTTTATTGGAATTAATAAGAGAAGATTACGTTCTATGGTTGCTGTCATTTTCAAGAACATAAATTTTACTAATGGTTTTATTGAACTAACATTAATATTTTTAAAATTTTCTTATTTTAGGTATCATTGTCCAATGCCCAAGATATTTTATGTTCAGCTGACTGTAGGAAATAATGAGTTTTTTGGGGAAGGGAAGACCCGACAAGCTGCTAGACACAATGCTGCAATGAAAGCCCTCCAAGCACTGCAGAATGAACCTATTCCAGAAAAATCACCTCAGGTATGTTATTACTGCCACACATGACCATTTCTTCATTATTAGCTCCCTGGTGCGATTATTGACAAGACAAATAAATGCATTTTTATAAATAAAAGAAATAGTCTCTTCTGATAGGAAAGAATATTACGAGTAGTGACCTGCTATAATTTGTTTCTTAGATCACCTGTCTGTTATACCAGTCTCATGTGTTCCTGCTAGGATTACCTTACCTTTGAGAACTTTGGTTCACATATGGAGGTTACTTCTCAGGCAACACTGGGTTTGGGGATGTGAACAAGGATGAGAAATAGCATTCATTTGCCTTACATTTAATGCTACATTTATTGAGAGTAGGTTCATTGTGTTAATTTTGAATGAAGGAGTTTAAAGTGGAAGATATTTTTGTGGATTTGTTCTTCAGTCCTACTTTATTTTACAGACCAGGATATCGAGGCTGATCTGAGTATTTGCACCCATTCCCATGGCTTCAGCTGCTTTCTATATTGATTTCAAAATAGTATCAGCTCAGACATGTCTTTCAAGTTACCTTGTTATTAAGTTCTCCACTTAGTTATTGCAAATTGTTCTGTTCGACCCATGTATTTCCCATGCCCGCAAACCTCTTGTCCTCCCCTTTGAGATTCATCTTAGTAAATGGCCGACTTAGGTTTTAGTTTTTTTTTCTCTTTGTACACTTTATTTATTTTTTTAAAGATTTTATTTATTCATGAGAGACAGAGAGAGAGAGACAGAGAGGCAGAGACATAGGCAGAGGGAGAAGCAGGCTCCATGCAGGGAGCCTGACGTAGGACTCATTCCCGGGTCTCCAGGATCAGGCCCTGGGTTGAAGGTGGCGCTAAACTGCTGAGCCACCCAGGCTGCCCTCCTTGTACACTTTGATTATTACTCATACCTGTTTGCTTATCTGTTGTCACACTAAGTCATAAGTTTCTTGGCAGTAGGAATACTGTCTCTTGATCTTTTTATCTCTAATACCCTGTGATCAACATCTATGAATCCCTTCTGAAGTATGTGTTGAAGAAGTAAGTAACTAAGTTGGTACCAGATCCAAACAAGAGCTCCAAAACCCTGATTTGCATCCTATAATCTTTCTATAATTTAGAAAGAAGATTAAATAGCATATTAGAATATAAGGGAAAGTGTTGTGTGTATGTATAGACGGGGGTTAGACATCTCTGAAGAGAATTGAATCTGGGGACATAGTATAAACTCAAATTAGTATATGGTTGAGTAAAAGATTTCCACATTCAGTATTTATCCCTCCACTTTGAGTAAAGAAACACTAAAAATTAAATCACAAAAAGCCTCACAGCAAATCCTACAACTACAGTGGTTCTATAGGAATCCACAAGATATAGTCTCTGGTTTCTTGTTTCTTAGTATATTTTAAATAGGACCTCTTGATTGTAGAATATATTTACAGTTTGTTACAAAGTAAAGATTCATTGTCATCCTATTTTTTGTCATTTAGAATGGCGAATCAGGAAAAGAAATGGATGATGACAAAGATGCGAATAAATCGGAGATCAGCTTAGTGTTTGAAATAGCTCTGAAGCGAAATATGCCCGTCAGTTTTGAGGTATGTGCTCAGTAGTGATCTTCCATTTCTCTCACCCTGCTCCTCACTATTTAAAATAAATTAATTAATTAACTGGCATACTAGTATCCTGAAAGAGCTAATGTGCTTCCTTTTTTTTTTTCAAAAAAAGATTTTATTTATTTATTCATGAGAGAGGCAGAGACATAGGTAGAGGGAGAAACAGGCTCCCTGTGGGAACCTGATGTGGGACTTGATCCCAGGACCCTAGGATCACGACCTGAGCCAAAGGCAGACGCTATACCACTGAGCCACCCAGGTGCCCCTCAATGTGCTTCCTTATGTTCAAACTCTCTAGCATGAAATCATATAGGCTTAGGGAAAATAGGACTTACTATAATATCATGGATTTCTGCTGATCTCATTGGCATTTCTGTATTTGTATGTAATGTATGTATGTATGTATGACAATTTTAATTTTCATCGTAACATTTATTTTCTGAATATGAGATAATTTGTAGTAAAGTTTGGTGTTTTTAATAGCATCAGATTGGAAGTATTCAAGTTAATATTTAGACATATGTTACTACTAAATTCTTCTAAGTTTGTGAAATCAAAATAGGTTTAAATTTAACTTTTACAAATAAATCACTAAGAAGTAATTAAGCAGCTCTCTACTTACAACCAGATAAACATGTCACAAAGTGTTTATAAAATGTGAAATTTAAAAGGGAAACGTTTTAAATTATTGTAATACCTCCTTTATTAAGAGGTCACTAATTTTCTAACTCAAATATCTAGAAAGTAGGCAAAGCCCAGGAAATAAGCAGAGACAGTTATGGAGTATCTTTCAAATTATGGATGTTCACCCACTAGAAAGCTCCCATGTTTTATTCACTGGCAAGATCAGCTGACCTTGACTGAGAACCCATCTCCTTATACACAATTCTCCGCAGTTGGGTTATCTGATTTCTCACCCTATGGCAAATTAAAAGCAGCAAAGTGAGGAAGACAAGGATGTAATATACTTGAGGGCCTGTTGGTCTCAGTAAGAAATGATAGGGGAAATTTAGAAAACCTATCAAAAGTAATTGCATGTACTCAAAAATTATTGGAACGTGAGCCCTTTAACGGCTACAATGAATAGGAATAATTTTAAAAGTCTTAGATATCCTTGGAATCATCAATATCATATCATATAGAATATTTGGTTTTCATAATAATTATCTAATGTGAACAATAAAAATTCAGATGTTTAGTATTCTCTGTTAAGTCAGTATATATATATTTTTTAATTGAGGAAGATATTCATCAAAGTAATTAAAATAAACAGTTTGGTGTTTCAACTAGCAAATTACATGGAAAGTATGCTTATCATAAATTTCTTATCTCCCACCATGTTGGATTATTGAGACGCTGTGTTGTTTTCCTTTTCCTTTCCTAATTGGTATCTCATATTAGAAGACAATTTGTTTTTTAAGATTTTATTCATTTAATCATGAGAGATACAGACAGATAGAGAGGCAGAGACATAGGCAGAGGGAGAAGCAGGCTCCCTGCAAGGAGCTAGATGTGGGACTTGATCCCGGATCCCAGGATCATGTCCTAAGCCGAAGGCAGGTATTTAACCACTGAGCCATCCAGGTGTCCCTAGAAGACAGTTTTAATATAAAGTTAAATGGTAAGCTATTTAACTAAATAGGGTATCTTTTATAGGTCAAAATTTTGAAGGAGACTATAGTTTTGAGCATTTTGAAAGACCTCTTTCCTCCAAAGGCTGGCGTAGTTTAAAGAACACATTAAAACAGGGTTTAGGAACATTCATAGATGACAGATTCATAACCCATTACTGTAGAAAGATAGGTATTTTTATGGCATTTTTTAAGATTATGTCGCAGGAAGAAACATTCTTTTCTATAAAACAGGCTTTGGGGCCTCCATCAAAAATAGGTTATTTTTACCCAGAAGTCATTTTTGAGAGGCTTCCACATGCAGGATGCTTTATGGGCTAGAGAACTCCAGGAAGAAGTAGTCTTGTACTTCAGTAACTTACTCTTATAGAGAAGAAATTAGAGATGTACACAGTTATATACAAATTATTGTTCTGAATGGTCTATGTACCTAATCCAATGTGTGGTGTGTTTTATATTCTTAATTTTCTGTTCCATAAGAAACTGGGTCACTATAATTAGAATTGCCTATTTTAAGCTAGTAAAACACAAATTTTGACTGTGAATTGAATGTATTTATTTGCTTTTTTTTGTTCTTTCAGCTTCAGTTCATTAACATCATTAGTATCATAAATGAATAGTCACTATATAATATCTTCATAATTTTATTAAAGAAATCTATAATTTTGGCATAATTCTTTATAATTTCAATTATGATACACTTAAAGACTCATGCAATGAGAACATTTCTTAAGTGCCTATGTTAAATATTTCATTTATATTTAATAGGTTATTAAAGAAAGTGGACCTCCACATATGAAAAGCTTTGTTACTCGGGTGTCAGTAGGAGAGTTCTCTGCAGAAGGAGAGGGAAATAGCAAAAAACTCTCCAAGAAGCGCGCTGCAACCACCGTCCTACAGGAGCTTAAGAAACTTCCGCCTCTTCCTGTGGTTGAAAAGCCAAAATTATTTTTTAAAAAACGCCCTAAAACAATAGTAAAGGTAAGTATATGCTTGTGAATATTGGTCAGTTTTGCTTTATAAATATGGTAACTATAGGTAAACATTTTTCCATGGGACAGGCCCCTAAACCTGTGGATTATATACAGTCCTAGAGTCAGTGTTGGCCCTGGACTATATAAATCAGTAACAGTTCTGTTTTGCTTTTAGACATTTATACACCTGCATTTGTTCATCAAATAATGATATCTTCCATATTTGTAGTTTTTAATGGTTTAAAAGACATTATCTTATTCATAATCACCTTTAGTGTAATTCTCATCAGGACTGTATAAGGTAGATGACATTACCCCTCCTTTTACAAGTAAGGTTTTATGAAACACGTTCAAAGAATTTGCTCACTTTTATTCACCTGGGCTGTGGAGCAACTTGAACTACTAGGATTTCCAGTCCAGTGTTCTTTCTGTACACTGGGTTGCAATACAGTAATTTCTTGGGATATCATGAAATGATAATAGGTTACAGAGTAATAATCATATGAATAATACTAATGCTGGTGACAGCAGCAGCAGCTAGTAAATATAAAGCACTGTGTGTCTTTACACTTCATGTACTTTATCACATTTAATCCTCATAGCAGCCCTATGAGGTAAATGGTATTATTTTGTTTCTATTCTCTCCGGCATGGCATACCTTTGCCAAAGAAGAAAATAGAGCACACACTTTTTGACTCTTTCTTTGACTGGAGGAGATTTTGTTTTGGTTGTTTATACTAAAAACAACAACAATCAAAAAAAAGAAATGAGATGATTTGGCACGGAGTACAGGATACTGCCTATGAGTGCTCAATATGTATGACATGCATGAGCTGGAGTTCTGTTCATAGAGTAAGCCTTAAACTGCCAGCATATCAGTTGTCAAGTCAGTGTCACTTATTTAGCAGACTTCTGGTTAGGCTCTACAAATCAAGGATTACAAAAATGAAGTATGGTTAACCCTTGAACAACATGGGTTTGAACTGCATGAGTCCATTTATATGCAGATTTTTTTTTGTAAATACAGTGTTATAAGTATATTTTCTTTTCCTTATGATTTTCTTCTTGTGATTTAGTAACATTTTTCCTCTTTAGTGTAAGAATATAGTATATAATAAAATATACAAATATGTGTTAATTCACTGTTTTATGTTACTAGTAAGGCTTCTGATCAACTGTAGGCTATTTGTAGTTAAGTTTTGGGGGAATCAAAACATAAAACCAAAAAGAAGTTATACATTGATTTTTTGACTGAGTGGGGCATTTTGACTGAGTGGGGCATTGGCACTTCTTCCAACCTTGTTCAAGAGTCAAGGTCAACTGTACATTTTATCTCCAATGAACTTCTTTTGTTTAGATTGTACAGTGGTACAACCCCAGTATTTTTATAGATTTTCTGCCATTTGCACCTGTGTTTTATTTAAAAACACACACACGTTTACATAATAAATGACTATATAAGCACATGTTCTTAATGAATACTATCATTATCTCACTGAGAAGGTGTAGGTTATGTGTTCCTTTAAATAGCATTCTACTATATATGTAAGGTAGACTAAAAATAAATGCCAAATAGATCCGCTTATCATGAATCCTATTGGTTCTGAGGGCTCACTTTCATTCATATGCTCTAACCACATGGTCAGGGAGTGGGATATTGCCTTAAAATGTAACATTTGGATTCAGTTTTGACTGTGAAAGCCTGTGACCTGAGCAAGTTACCTAACTTTTCTAATCTTACATTTCTTTATTTATAAAGGTAAGAATAATAATTGAACTTGCTTCATAGGAGTGTGATGTGTTAACTGAAATATACACAGAATGTGTTAGTAATTATTACTAAATGTTAACAGTGCAAATTTTAAGTGCTCAATAAAGATGAACTATTGTTATTTTGAAACTGTCTATTCACATTTTATGTGTATGTGAATATATCCATGGTCTGTTTTCTTAAATATATTTTTAAGAAATTTTATTTCTATGGTATAGTAGATATATTTGAGATATTAGTGTCAGGTGTACAACATATTGACTCAGCAGAGTACTTCTTATCACTGTTTGTTATTACAGTATTATTGACTATGTTCTCTATGCTATACTTTTCATTCCTGTAACTTTTTTTTTGAAGTTTCTACTTCTTAATCCCATTCACCTATTTCCCCCATTCTCGTCCCCTCTGCCAACCACCAGTTTGTGTTCTGTATTAGTGAGTCTGTTTTTTGTTTTGTTTTGTTTCAAATCTTTATATATATAAAATCTGTAGCTTTTCCCTGATGAAAAAAACACTACTCTGCATCAGAATGGCAGCACAAAACTGGTCACAACAATTTCTATCTAATATATTAAGCTGAAACTAATCTTTAAAAAAAATTTTTTTAAAGGTTTTATTTACTTATTTGAGAGAGAGACAAAGATAGCAAGAGGGAGCACAAGCAAGGAGGAGAGAGGGAGAAGCAGGCTCCCCGCTGAGCAAGGAGCCTGATGTGGGGCTCGATTGCAGGACCCCAGGATCATGACCTGAGCGGAAGGCTTAACAGACTGAGCCACCCAGACACCCCCAAACTAAATGTAATCTTAATAAGCTACAATATAATGAGCCATTCGGCAAGAAAAGATCTAATACATTTTTATGGTAGGATATAAACATAACCCTTGTTGCTTTTAACTGTAGTTATTAAAAGCAGGATTATCGTATAAATGTTATTCCCCAGAGTGGGGAGAAACATTTCAAATTCTCAAAATTATTTGCCGCTACTTTTAGTTATATAAGGAAGGTGCTCCAGAACTTTCTTCCTATCCACCATTCAGATCTCAGCTTAAACTTGACTTCTTTACGGAAGCCTTCTTTGTTCTCCCCTACTTCCAGATTAGGTTAGCCCCCTGCATTTTTCCTCACATACATCACACTTGGAATTATTTCTACCATGTCTGTCTTGTGTTAAAATAAAGCCCATAGACATCTTCTGAAATGTAAGGTTATTTTGAGAAAGCAGCATGCATATAGTGAGTTGGGAATCTAGATAATTTTAAGTATGATGGGGCAATAAATGGGTAGGTTGGAATAATATCTTGGTTTTCAGCATTTTTATTCTTCCTTATATGTCTTATACAACTAGAGTCTATAGTTCCTTCTTATGCAATAGAAACAATAAACTGTTGATTTACCTAGATTTTATTTAAAATAATAAAAATAACATTATTTTATTTAATTTTCTTAATAATGCTGTGATGTTGCTGTTATCCCATTTTACATGTGAGATTCTTGATGTTTAAGAGACTTACTCAAGATCATGTAACAGGTTCTAGGTCCAGTAATGTCTGATTCCCATTGGAGACTGATTGTGAACTCCTTTTGGATTTTAAGATTAACTCTACGGAATTTTCTTGTTAAAATGTAAGACTGCCCTTGTGAGGTCTCTGGGCTTATATTTTGTTTTTTAATGTACTTCTCTTCTGTAAGATGAGACTTCAGAGAAGTGTTTCTGATGTTGAAGATAAAATTTTCTGGACACAACTGTTATAAGACTGTCTATACTAGTTTGTGAAAAGACAACAGAAGACTTGATATCCAAGGAATAACTTAATTATCAAGGATGCTAGTAGTAAATTTTAATCAAGGGAAGAAATCAGCCATTCTTAATGTTCTCAGTCTCTGTTATTATCTAATTGGATTTATGCATCTGTTTTTTTTGTCATTGGAATCCGTATCAACAACAGTGTTTTGGAACTGAACATTTTTTTAAGTGAGGGAAGGGGCAGAGGAATAGGAAGAGAGGCGATCTTAATTAGGCTCCTGCCCATTGTGGAGGTAGATGAGGAGCTTGATCTTATGACGCTGAGATCATGACCTGAGCCAAAATCAGGAGTCAGATGCTTAACCAAATGAGCAACCCAGGCTTCCCCATGGAACTTAAGGACACTTTTATAAAAGAGGCAAATTAAATAAGAATAAAGACAGTATATCATTGAAATTACATTTTTACTTGAATATCTTCATGAAGTAGGCATTCTTCTAGTGCTAGACTCAAAAGCTTCCCTTCACCTTTTCATTGATATCTCAGACTTGTAACTAATTATCTACATTCGTCTTTTTTCATAAGTACTTTACTTTCTTTATAATTCATTTAGTTTTCTTTTTTGGTGGGGGGTATGTAAGTAGAGATGGAAATAATTATTTTATCAAAAGCTAAAATTTTCCTTTTCTCTCCCGGTCTTCCACTTAACTCTTACAGTACTGAAGTTCTCAGTCTTTTTCTTCTCTTACTCTTTTCACACTTTTAGGGCTTCAGTCTTTATATAGATGATTCTCAAGTACTCTTCTGTGCTCTGCACTGCCTTTTAGACATCTTCACTTCGAAATTTCACAGGCACATCAAACTCATCATAATTTCCTTCTCCTCCAGCATTCCTTATCACAGTGCCTGGCATCACCATCCTGCTGCTGAAATAAAAACATGGGAGTTATTTAAAATTTTTTTTATTTAAATTCAATTAATTAACATATAATGTATTATTGGTTTCAGAGGTAAAAGTCAGTGATTCATCAGTCTTATATAGCACTTACATACCTAATGCTCGTTACATCACATGTCCTCCTTAATGCCCATCACCTACTTACCCCATCCCCCAACCCCCTTCTTCCCTCCAGTGACCCTCAGGTATTTCTTACGATTAAGAGTCTCTTATGGTTTGTTTCCCTCTCTAATTTCATCTTATTTTTTCCTCTCTTCCCTTATAATCCTCTGTTGTGTTTTTTTTTTAAAGATTTTATTTATTTATTCATAAGAGCCACAGAGAGAGGCAGAAACATAGGCACATAGGCAGAGGGAGAAGCGAGCTCTCTGCAGAGAGCCTGATGTGGGACTTGATCCCAGGAAAGGCAGACTGAGCCACTCAGGTGTCCCTAAAAAAAAAAAGATTTAAAAAGCTTTCCTCATAAACATTACCCATATAATGTTAAAAATAGAGTGCCTTCTAAATGGTTTATATATTTGTAGGTTAAAAAGCATATTAAGTAAAAATAAGATCTACTGCCCAACTTGAATGTAGAACATTTCTTACTGAGATTGAAGTTGTGTATGTGCTCCTCTTCTGTCACATTCAGATGCCACCTCACATAACCACAGTCATTCGTTTTATATTTAATATTTCCTTACCTTATAATTTTACTGTATGTTTTTCTGAAAAGTTAGTATTTGCTTAGTTAGCTTTTAAAACAGCTTTATTGGGCAGTCCCGGGTGGCTCAGTGGTTTAGTGCCGCCTTCAGCCCAGGGTGTGATCCTGGAGACCTGGGATCGAGTCCCATGTTGGGCTCCCTGCATGGAGCCTGCTTCTCCCTCTGCCTGTGTCTCTGCCTCTCTCTCTCTCTCTCTCTCTCTCTCTCTCTCTCTCTGTCTCTCATAAATAAATAAATAAAATCTGAAAGAAAAAAAAGCTAATAAACAGCTTTATTGAAGTACAATGGACATATAATGAAGTGTACATATTTTAAAGCCTACTATTCGATATGTTTTGATACATGTGTACACCTGTGAAACCATGACCATCATCAAGGTAATGAACCTACCTATGGCTCCCAAAAGTTCCCTCTTGCTCCTTTGTAATCCCCTCCATCCTCCACTCCCAAGAAACAACCCTTTTTTTTTGGCTGGCTTCTTTCACTTAGTATGAATCATTTGGAAACTCATTCATGTTGTTGCGTGTATCAGTTATTGGTTCTATTTTAATGCCAAGTAGTATTTTGTTGTATAGTTATACTACCCTTTGTTTATCTATTTTCCCTTTGGTTATTTTAAAAAAATAATATTTTGGATGTTTCTCATTTTGGGCTGTAAGTAAAGCTGCTATGAACATTTGTGTATGAGTTTTATGGGCATAAGCTTCCCTTTTGGGAAGCTTGGGAGTGAATGACTTGGTCATTTAATAGGTGTATATTCAACATTTTAAGGGACTGCCAATTGTTTTTAAAAATGAATGTACTGTTTTATATTCTTATCAGCCCTGTGAGAATTCTAATTGCTACACCTCCTTTCTAATATGTAGCAGAGTCTTAAATTTCAGTTGCACAAATGTGTGTATTGATATCTTTTTGTGGTTTTGATTCACATCTCTCCCGTGACTGATGATATTGAGCATTTTTTATGTGTTTGATAACACATGAAGCTTGATGAAGTGTTGTTTAGCTCTTTTGCCCATTTGAAAAATTAAATAATATAAATAATAATAAAATGTAAATAATAAATATATTGAATTTTGAGAGGTCTTTATATACTTGGGATACAAGTTTTTTTTTTCAGTGAGAATTTTTTTAAATTGAAGCATAAATGACATACAATATCCTGTTAGTTTCAGGTGTACATCATAGTATTTCAATATTTTTGTACATTATGAAATGATCCCCATTGAGTCTAGTTACCATCTGTCACCATACAAAGTTGTTATTATATCATTGACTTCATTCCCTATGCTGTGCATGATGTCCCTATGACATTTATTTTATATCTAGAAGTTTGTACCTCTTAATCCTCTTCACCTGTTTCACTCCCCTCCCCGTACAAGTTCTTTTTTTTTTTTTTTTTTTTTTTTTTAAATTTTTATTTATTTATGATAGTCACAGAGAGAGAAAGAGAGAGAGGCAGAGACATAGGCAGAGAGAGAAGCAGGCTCCATGCACCGGGAGCCCGATGTGGGATTCGATCCCGGGTCTCCAGGATCGCGCCCTGGGCCAAAGGCAGGCGCCAAACCGCTGCGCCACCCAGGGATCCCCCCGTACAAGTTCTTTATCAGATATGGGATTTGCAAATATTTTCTCCAAGCCTATGACTGATCCTTTTCAAAGAATAGAAATTATTAATTTTGAAGAAGTCCAAGTCCAATTTATTGTTTTTATGGAATATAATTTTAGTATTGTACCTAAGAAATTGTCACCTAACCAAGTCACAGAAATTTCGTCTATATTTTCTTCTGCAAGTTTTATAGTTACATATTGTATTTAAATCTGAACCATTCGAGCTTATTTTTGTAATGGTATGAGGTATGGATTGAAGTTTGTGGGTTTCTTTTTTTTTGTTTTGTTTTGTTTGCATATAAATATTCAGTTTCAGTAACTACCCTTGAAAAGACTACCCTTTCTCCAGTGAATTGCTTTTACACCTTTGTCAAAAATCAGTTGACCATATACATATGGGTCTGTTTCCAGATGCTGCTGTGTTAACTAATCTCTTTATCTTTATTTCAGTGCTCCATATACTGTCTTGATTACACCATAGCTTTATAATAAATCTTGAAATCAGATAGTCTGAGTCTCCAATTTTTTTTTTCAAAGTTCAGTTATCGATCCTTTGAGTTTCTATATGAATCTTAGCATTAGCTTATCAATTATTACAAAATAAAGCCTGGTGGGATTTTGATTGGGATTGGATTGATGTATCAATTTGAAGAGAATTGACATTTTAAAAATATTGAGTCTTGATCCATGAACATATGTTTGTCCACTTATTTAGATCTTGTTTAATTTCAACAGTGTTTGGTGGTTTTAGTGGGCTTTACATAAATTATATCATTTGATATTTATTCTTCTGTGCTTGCTTTTCTTGAAGTATTTTTTTTGAAATTCATTCATTTTGAGGTATGTAGCTATCCTTAATTTATTTTCATTTTTATATGCTGCTCCACTAGATAAATATGTCATAACTTATTTGTTCTTTGATAAATGTTTAGGTTATTTCCAGTTTTTTTTCTATTTCAAATAATGCAACTATGGTTATTCTTGTACATATGAGCTAGTGCATATGGGCAACAGTTACTCTCTATCCTCACCAGTTGGGATTGTCAGACTTCTTAAGTTTTGCTAAGTGGATGGGTATAAAATAGTATCTCACTGTGGTTTTAACATGCATTTTCTGAGTCTTAATGAGATTATCTTTTCCTATTTTTTTTTTCTGTTAAAAATCTATTCATCTCTTTTGCCCATTTTTCTTTTACATTGTCTTAATACTTATTAGGAGTTTTAAGATGTATATTTTAGATACTGGATATATCTTTGTTTTAGTTATATATATATATTGCAGATATCTCCGTACCAGTTCATGGCTTGGCTTTTTTACATTTTTTTTTTTTGTAAAGATTTTATTCATTTATTTGAGAGAGAGAAAAAAATACAGAGCAGCGGGAGGGGCAGAAGGAGAGGGACAAGCAGTCTCGCCCGATACAGGGCTTGATACCCGGACCTGTGACTATGACTTGAGCTGAAGTCGGGACTCTCAACAAACTGAGCCACCTAGGTGCCCCTCTTTTTGTGTGTTTTGATGAACAGAAGTTATGAAGCAACTCTAACATACTGAAGAGTTTAACAGCAGACTTGACCCAACTTATCAGTAATACCTTTGAGCCTCAATCCCATAGAAGCCTTAGTTTCAGTTCCGTTCTATGATTTACCATTATAAATGTTCATAAATGGCTATCCAGTCACATTATCTTCTCCAGTTATAGTTTTGGGGTGCAGAGGATGAGGGGAGAACCATTGTTTCTTTAAGGATCCAAAAACAAGTTTTACCAGCATGTTTTGAAATTTTTTCTTAAATTATTTTTTAGGCTGGACCAGAGTATGGTCAAGGAATGAATCCCATTAGCCGCCTGGCTCAAATTCAACAGGCCAAAAAGGAAAAGGAGCCAGATTATGTTTTGCTTTCAGAAAGAGGAATGCCTCGACGTCGGGAATTTGTGATGCAGGTATTTATAACATTTATATTAGAAAAAAAGTTTGTAAACACTGAAAAAAAAATAGAAACCCCCAGGTTGTAATAGAGATATGGGGGAAAGGCAAGAACTAGGAAGTAAAACCAGGCCCACCTGCCAACTTGGTTGAAACGTTCAAATGGCAAGGACATGTTAGAATAGACAGTCTGGGTTTTTGAAGGGACTGTGGGTTCACGGAGGTTGTTTACCACAGTTTATAGTTTAGAATGCCTATCTCTAACTGATGTTACACTTTGCAGCCAGATGCCGTTAACTACTGGGGAGTAGGATATGGATGGAATTAGAAACATAATTTAGAAGAGAGATGTAGTAGATGGAATAGTTGGCCAAGAGCATGAGCTTTTGGATTATCAGGAAAATTCGGAAAATAAAGCTAACTGTGGTGAGGATTGAGGGACTCACTTGCTGAGAGATTTAGGCATTTAGATTTAGAGGTTAGATTGAGGCACAATGCCTAAAATGCCCTCCTTTTAAAATTCTTCCTATTCATCTTCATTTGCGAACTCAAGCCCCAGTATTGAAGAAACCTTTAATTCTTACTGTGTAAGTTTCAAACATATCCAAAGGTGGATATACTAAGTAGTAGACTATTACGTATACTATTATACTGGTATAATAACTAATACTAGCTGATATTTAGCCACAGATCATTTCAGCCTACCTACTTAATGTATATCACTAAAAATATGGAAGTTTTTCTTTTATGTTCTTATATTAGGCATGGTTCATATTCATTAGAATTATCTAATACCCAGTCCATATTTGAATTCTCCTTATTGTCCCAAAACTTTTTATTATAATTGGCTTGTCAAGAAAACTTTTTTCCAGTCAGACCCATGGATGGTCACCTTTGATGTAATCCAGTTAAAATCCACAGATACTAAATCCTGACCATGTGGCAGGCATTTTGCCGGTAACAAATAGTATCTCATATTGATTAGCTTTTCATACTTATCTTCTTTTTTTTTTTTTTTTTTTTTTTAGTTTTTATTTATTTATTTGAGAGAGAGAGTGCACTCATGTGTGTACATGAGCCAGGAGAGGCAGAGAGAGAGTGGGCGAGGAAGAGGGAAAAAATCCCAAGCAGTCTCCATGCTGAGTGTGGAACCTGACTAGGGGCTCAGTCTCACAACCCTGAGATCATGACCTATGCTGAAACCAAGAGTCAGTCACTTAACCGATTGGGCCACCCAAGCACCCCCTTTTCATACATTTCTAAACTTTACCTTGTCTCTCAATTTATAATCTCCACGTTTCTTTATCTCATAGTACCCAATATAATATATGTATATAGTAGTACTTTAAGAAACTCGTGGTGTATATATGCTGCCTGTCTGCTCGATTGAGAGCTATTAAGTTTGGCTTTGTTGGGGATGTAAACTTACGATACAGTCACAGATACACCATGGTTGGGAATCTTGATATCCAAAAAGTGAGGAATACTACTAGTTAAGGACATTACTATCTAGATGTCATTAAGACCCAAGACAAATTTTATTCTAGTATTTTCACTTCGTAAAATGCTTTATCGTTTTTCTTTTTACATGATTAGCTTTGAAGAGTTCTAGGAAGTATTTTTTGAACTCTAAAACGTGAGGGAGGAAAAATCACCTAAAACCTATATTAAGAATAAAAACTGGCATTGCCTTTATTTAACATTTTTTTTTCCTGTGGAGTATATTGAGTACCCCTTTTGAAAAAGGAATTTAGAATATCTTAGGCCAGCTTCCATTTTATGGGTATTCATAAACATTGTAGTCAAATGGGAACATTTGGCTGTGCTTTTAAATGTTTTCACACTGAATTCATATTGCTTTTCCCCCTTCTGGAAGCCCCAGTGGATTCATTATAGTATTGCAGCAAGTTTATCAAAGTAAAGGCTTTGTATAAACTATTTAAGTAATGTTATCATTTGTTATAGTTGAATGTGGAAATAAAAATATCTAGAGACAATATGCTCATATTTATCACCCAAAAAATAAATTTGTATGTTACAAAATGGATGTAATTACTTGTATTGATTACTAGACAAAGAAAAATCTCTGATGAGATTATTTGAATATTGATTTCCAAAGCATATTTCTTAAAGCTTTTAATTTTTTTAGAAAGGGATATTTTAATTTTTTGAAGAGAAAATAATGGCTACTAAATTGTATATCACATACACACATTGTGTATAGCACATTCTATTGAGTTAATTTTTCTACTTGTGACTAAAATCTTCAGGTTTCTAAAAAATATATAAATCAGATTTCATCAATTTTATTTGTGACTCATTGAAGGATAATTAAGTTTTCAGTATATGCTATTTTAGAACTTACAGGTTTTTTTTAGAGATTTATTTATTTACTTATTTTAAAAGATTTTATTTATCTATACATGAGACACACACACACACAGAGGCAGAGATATAGGGAGAGGAAGAAGCAGACTCCATGCAGGGGGCTCGATGTGGGACTTGATCCCGGGACTCCAGGATCATGCCCTGAGCCGAAGGCAGATGCTTAAGCGCTGAGCCACCCAGGTGTCCCGAGGGCTTGACTCATTTAAATGAGTTGTTTAAAGATAAAAATCTGACAGTCTTAAAGTTATTGTGTAGCAAAATAATAAAACTTTGCAGATGAATTAATATTTTAATGTAAATTATTATTTGTAATAATTAAAAAATTTTTGAGTTGTAGGAAGATGACTTATGAAGTTCATTTATGTAATTGCATTTATAATGATATGATTTTTTTTTTCCCTTCTGAGTGACCACTGTGTTTGTTAGCAGGGAATCAAAGGCATTTATCTATCTATCTATCTATCTATCTATCTATCTATCTATCTATCTATCTAAAGATTTTATTTATTCATTCGTGAGAGACACAGAGAGAAAGAGAGAGGCAGAGACACAGGCAGAGGTTGAAGCAGGCTCCATGCAGGGAGCCCAATGCAGAACTCAATCCTGGGACTCCAGGATCATGCCCTGGGCTGAAGGCAGGTGCCAAACTGCTGAGCCACCTAGGGATCCCCTCAAAGTCCTTTAGCACAGTCATCTTTTAAAAATATTAACAGATAAGTCTAGGATAAGTACCCACAAACTATCGAACATGCCACCATAAAAAGTTGTGTGAGGCAAGGGTGGGTGAATGGCAAAAATAAATCTGGAAGCACCTGTTCTAACAGTCTCGAAGGTGTCAGAAAAGGTCAGATGGAAAGCTGCAGATACAGATTCAACATGTATGCTAAGATGAGAACAGTATTACCTAAGAGCAGAAGATTGGAGTCAAAGAGTATCAGGCCTGGGTAGATAAATGAGATTTAGAAATGAAGCAGCAAAAGAATTGAATGAGAGTGAGGTGTACATAGCATGTGAAAACAGATGAAATATATTTTGCTGTTCAGTGATCTTGCTTCCATTTATTTTGGCAAGTGTTTTGACCTTCAGAGCAGTAGAGGAAGCTTCTGACGTAGCTGGCCTAATCTGTTAGCTAGCAAGCATTCCAGCAACAACACAGGGGCTATTAAAGCTGGGGAACAAATCAAACACTGGAAAAAATAACAGGTAGCAGAGGCCTGGCTCTAGCCAGGGACTCAAGCACACATTATACCTAGGGTCTGCTGTCTTCAGGTCAGGGCAGGCCAGCCCAGATATGGGAGGTAGTATGTATTGACTCAGCTCCAGGGACTGACTGTGGACAGTACTTGATCATTGCTTCTTAGTGAGGTCCCATAGACTACTGCTGATTTGTCATAATCTGATGGTTTATAGTTTCACAAGAAAAAGCAATGACATGATTCAAAGACATCACACAGATTTGAACTACAACATTTGTGATAGTTTCAGAAATTCTATAATGAATATATTATCAATGTTTCATATACTACAAAAACTATGTCATTTAGTTCATCTTCACTAAAATTTTGTTAAAAGAGTGTATTTCTTTGTCATATAATTTGCATTGTTTATATTTAAGTTTTTTTCTAACCACTGTGCTAGAAGTACTTCATTCAGTGAAGCTTAAAAGTAGTAATAGAATATGAACACAAATAAAACCTAAATACTAGTGTAAGAATAAATGTCAAATAGTACACACGTGTGGATACCAGATGGAAGTTGTTATGTTCTGAGATGAATGAAATAGCTGATTATAGCTGATTATGCTTTCACCCAGAAACCAAAAAAGAAAACTGTGGGTTAGAAGTATCAAGCTTTGTATCTGAAAGCTGGATTTAGTTGTACCATGTACTAATTCATTGTTAGTACACAGTATACTGTAATTGTGAAATTTTATTAAAGTGGCATGAAGCTATTGAAGCTAAATTTTTTTTTAAAGATTTTATTTATTCACTCATGATAGACATAGAGAGAGAGAGGCAGAGACACAGGCAGAGGGAGAAGCAGGCTCCATGCTGGGAGCCCAACGCAGGACTCGATCCCGGGACTCCAGGATCGCGCGCCCTGGGCCAAAGGCAGGTGCCAAACCACTAAGCCACCCAGGGATCCCCTAAATTTTTTTTTAAACAAAGCTCCGTGACATCTGGTAAAATAATCCAAATTTTCATGCATAGATTGCCTGTTCAGCTCTCTTGCTCATTTTTGTACTGGTTTAAAAAAGTAACATTTAGGAATCCACTGTATATTCTGGACTATGAGTCTTTTTTAGTTACAAGGCATTTCAAATGTATTTTCTTGTGACTTTTTTTTCTTCCAATTTTAGTGATGTTCCTTTGAGGAACAAAACTAATTTGTTTTAAAAAGATTTTATTTATCTGAGATAGTGAGAGAAAGAGAGCATGAATGGGGGGGCAGAGGGAGAGGGAGAAGCAGATGCCTCTGAAGCAGGGAGCCTGATGCACGGCCCTTCCCTGCTCAGCAGGGTGCCCTACTCCCTGGCTTAATCCCAGGACCCTGGGATCATGATGAGAGTCAAAGGCAGACGCTTAACCGACTGTGCCACCTAGGTGCCCAGGAAGTAATTAATTTTGTTGCAGCCAAATTTTTCTTTTTTCCCTCATGTTAACTTTAAAGTCTAGACATCCAGAAGAATAATGCCTCCACCTTATTCTTCCTCAAAAGGATCTTAGAAGCTCTTAGCACTTTGTATTTCCATATATACTTTGGAATCAGCTTGTCAAGTATTGTTTTTTTTTTTTTTTAAGATTTTATTTATTTATTCATGAGAGACAGAGAGAAAGGCAGAGACATAGGCAGAGAGAGAAGCAGGCTCCATGCAGGGAGCTCTATGTGGGACTCGATCCTGGGACTCCAGGATCATGCCCTGGGCCGAAGGCAGGTGCTCAACCACTGAGCCACCCAGGTGTCCCAAGCTTGTCAAGTATTGTAAAAACATGTGGGATTTTGATGAGAATTCATTGAATTTATAGGGACTATTTGAAGAGAATTGATAAATATTGATTTTCAGGCATATCTCTGTTTATTAGGTTTATCTTAACTTTTCTCAGTGCTTATTTTCTGTAAAGTTCTTAAATATCATAGGTATTTTATTTTCATTTGATCTAAATGATATCTTGTAATTTTCTACTTGATTGTCGATGGGATATAAAAGTGCAGTTGGCATTGTATACTACTATTTACACAGAAAACACTCATGAATTCTTACAATTTATCTGTAGATATCCTTGGATTTCCTATATATCATATCTTCAGATAATGACAGTTTGTTTTTATACTTCTAATTCTTTTTTTAAATTAATTTAAAAAATTTTTATTTATTTGAGAGAGAGAGTATGTGTGCACAAGCAAGGGGGAGGGGCAGAAGAAGCGGGAGAAGCAGACTCTCCTCTGAGCAGGGCGCCCAACACAGGGCTCAATCCCAGCACCCTGGATCATGACCTGAGTAGAAGGCAGATGTTTAAGTGAGTGACCCACCTAGGCACCATATACTTCTAATTCTGTACCATTTTTTTCTTGCCTTATTGCTCTGTCTAGGATTTGTAGTAAAATGTTAAATAATAGTAAAAGTAGAGGGCATCTTCGTCTTTTTCTAATTTCAAAATTTCAACATTAAATTTAACATTGCTGAGGTTTGCTATACGTTTTTTGGAAAATGCACTTTATCTTATTAAGGAAGTTCCTTTTTTTCCTAGTTTACTATGAGTTTTTATTGTGAAATGATGTTGAGTTTTATCAAATGCATTTGCTCTGTTTATTAGGATGGCTATATGTTTTGTCTCCTCAGAGACAAAAACAGCAGATTCTGTTGATTGATTTTGTCTGAAATTCAAATGTTAGACCAGTCTTCCATTTCTGGGATAAACCTAACTTCATCATGATTTTTCTTTTTATGTATTGCTTTGTTCAATGAACTGTTATACAGTTTAAATTTGAGCAGTTATATTCATGAATGAAATAGGTTTGTAAATTTTCTTATACTGTTTTTGTTGGATTTTGGAATCAATAGCTCACTGAATAGTTGGGGATTGATTTTTCTTTTTCTATTCTTAGACAAATTTTTGTGACATTAGCATTATTCTTCCTTAAATATTAGGTGAACTTGCTGGAGAAGCTCTCTGGAGTTTTCTTTGTGGAAATATTTTTAATTATTTTAAATTTTTTTAGTAGTTATAGAGCTGTACAGTTTGGTGTTAATCTGTGCCAGTTTTGGAAATTTGTATTGTTGAGAAATTTTCCACTATATCTAAACATTGAAAAAGTTTTAGCTAAAATACTCAATATCCCTTATTCTTTTTTTAAAAAAAGATTTTGTTTATTTGAGAGAAAGAGAGCACAAGCAGGGGGAGCAGGAGAGGGAGAAGCAGGCTCCTTGCTGAACAGGAAGCCCAATGTGGGGCTCAATCCCAGGACTCTGAGATCATGACCTGAGCTGAAGGCAGACACTTAACCACTAAGCCAGCCAGGCACCCCATCCCATATTTTTTTTAATGCTACAGAAGCTTTAGTAATCTCCCATTTTCTTTTTTTTTTTTTTTAATATTTTTTAAATTTTTCTTTATTTATGATACGCACACAGTGAGAGAGAGAGAGAGGCAGAGACACAGGCAGAGGGAGAAGCAGGCTCCATGCACCGGGAGCCCGACGTGGGATTCGATCCCGGGTCTCCAGGATCGCGTCCCGGGCCAAAGGCAGGCGCCAAACCACTGCGCCACCCAGGGATCCCTAATCTCCCATTTTCATTCTTATTTGTCTTCTCTTACTCTCCTTGCCAGTCTTAACCTTTGATTTATCTCTTTATTAGTCTTTTCAGGGAACCAACATTTCGTTTTTTGAAGATTCTCTATTATATTTTGTTTTCTGTTTCCTTAATTTCTGCCCTTGTCTTTATTCTATTTTCTTTGGATTCATTTTGCTCTAATAACTTCTTGAGCTGGATATTTAGTTAGCTCATTACATTCCTGCCATTCTCTAAGCTTTTATGGCTATATATTTCCTTCTCAACCCTTCTTTAGCTACATCCTTCAAATTTCGATATGTTGTATTTCTGTCATTTTTTACTTAAAATATTTTCTGACTTCATTGGGATTTTGTCTTTGCCTATAGATTATTCAGACTACATTACTTAATTTATAAAGTTGTCATTATCTTCTTGGTTTGCTGCTTTGGTCATTTTTTGAGACCAATTTATAAAAAATCCCACTGTAGTCGTATATTTTTAATTTCTCCTTGTAATGCTATACTTTTTACCTTTAAGCAAATTTTTTTTTAAATTAAAAGAAACACTTACGTAGGGGTGCCTGGGTGGCTCCTGTTAAGGTCACTTAAGTATCTGCTTTCAGCCATTCCTGGGTGGCTCAGCAGTTGGGTCGCTGCCTTTGGCTCAGGTTGTGATCTCGGGATCCGGGATCAAGTCCTGCATCAGGCTCCTGCTTATCCCTCTGCCTGTGTATCTGCCCCCCGCCCTCTCTCTGTGTGTCTCTCATGAATAAATAAATAAATCTTAAAAAAAAAAACTATAAAAAAATTGCCTGCTTTTCAGCTCAGGTTATGATCCCAGTACTGGAATTGAGCTCCCATTGGGCTCCCTGCTCAGCAGGAAGTCTGCTTCTCTCCCTCCCCTCCCCCTGCTTGTGCTCTCTCTCTCTCAAATAAATAAAATCTTTAAGAAATGTTATTTATTTTTAAATTTTTTCCCTTTTGCTTTCTGATTTACTTTTTATATTTGCATTAGTTCTTGGTAGATTGATCTTTAAAAGCACTACCCAATTCAGAAAATGTACGTGTGGATATGAAATGGCTGATGTACATTTAAATGCATGTATAGACGTATATGTATGCAGCAGTTGTTTGCCAAAGATAATTGTGGAATAGTTTTCATGATAAAAAGCTACTGTTTTTTGATCAATTATGATTTATTATACACTGTAGTTTATGTACATTTTCTTGTTTAATTTTCAGAGCAATACTATGAGGTAGTTGTATTACCCCTCTTTTACTGATGGAAAATCTGAAGCTTAGAGGTACTAATTTGAATCAGTTTATACAGTTAGGAAGTGGTAGAATTTTATCTTCTTTTCTTTTTAAGAGACTGGGATGGATTGGGGGGGAGGGACACACAGAATCTGAAGCAGGTGCAGTGCCCAGTGCAGAGCCCCTTGCAGGGCTCGATTGCATGACCCTGAGATCATGACCTGAGCTGAAATCGAGAGTCCAGTCTTAATCAACTAGGCCACCCAGGCGCCCCTAGAATAATTTCATACCCAGATCTGACCTGGAAATCTTTGTTCTTAACCACAATATTGTGTTAACCCTTGTATATTAATTTTCCTCAGGAACTATTTAACATAAACCTTTGTAAATTTGAGATGCAATGTAAACATTGTTTTAAATGGCACCCATGCATTTCAGTCTTTTAGTTTATTAAATAAATAATACTAAATGTCCTAACCAACACAACTATTATAATGTGAATTTTATTTTTCTGCTTATATAAATAATATTGTTTTTTAAAAATAAAATAATACAGAAATATGTAGGGAAGTAAAAGTCATTGAAGATTCTATCACCCTGAGATAGTCTTCCATTGTCATTTTGAGGACCATATTGTCCTACTGTTCTCCATGTATATTTTCACTTGTATACATAATGTCATGTAAATGGGATAGTATCTTAGTTGCTGTTTTCATTATGGACTGAACTTTATATTTTTGAATTCTCGGAAGCATAACATACTGCTTTATTGTGTTAAGGAGTTCCTGTTTACCAAAGCAATTATCATCGGTTTCTTACTTTAATCTTACCAGGTCAAAGTAGGCAATGAAGTTGCTACTGGAACAGGACCTAACAAAAAGATAGCCAAAAAAAATGCTGCGGAAGCAATGCTGTTACAGCTTGGTTATAAAGCATCCACTAGTCTTCAAGAACAACTTGACAAGGTGAGAGCTGAATTTACATGTACGTATGTAGATCCTGTCAGAATGTTGGAGTGATGTACAAATCCTGTTCCAGTGTTTTTGATTCCAAGTAATGTCTTAACTGCTGTTAAAGTAGAAGTCAAGGTTTTTCCCCCACCAAGGCATAACTCTGTATCTTTAAAATAGATTCTCCAGGTACAAAATAGCACATTTATAGGGCCAAGATGAAATATTAATTATAATCTTACAATTGACAAATACTAAAAATATTTTATCACTGTATGTATTTTATATAATACCAGTTGAATAATTTTTAGCTTATTGACTCACTCGTGGTTCTTGCCATATAACCAGTTTTAATATGTGCTTTTTTAAAGAACAGGGTTTGTTAGCCTTTATTTCTGGAATACAGCTGAAAACACTAGAAATAAAGATCCTGAATTATCCCTTTAGGGCAGGAACTATATTGGACAGGCGCTCTATAAACTAATTTTTCTGTTTACTTTAAATTTAAAGGTAAACTCAGAGGGTGTTTATTTTCTGCCAAGACTTATGTTCATGGTCCTCTATTTCTTCTGCAGCAGTTAATGACATCATTAACACCTACCTCTGTTGCAAAAGAAGCAGAGAACCCCAAATTGAGTACTTGGCAGATAACTTGGCAGGAACTAGCTTAACTTTATTTTGTATAATCATTTTATCTATGCACATGTAGAAATTATTTTTATTAAACATTATATTAAATGAGAATTCATAAAACAGGCTTAATAATTATTTCTATCAAAAACAATATGCTTTTTTTTCCATGCCATTTTCTCACATAAGGATTCTGTTTTAGAGATGTTTTCAGTTCCTGCAGGAACACATTTCTGAAATTTAGAGTAAAAACCAAATCATCTATTAAAAAACATTTAGATCTGTTTTTTTTTTTTTTTAAAGACAGCTGTGAATATTCAGGCAGTTATTTTGAGCGATTAAGAATTATTTGTCTGTGTGGTATCGCTAGAGATTTCAATTCTGTTTTTATAACCTGGCTAGTCAGTGCTTTTTCTTCTTTTAAAAGTATTTGTAACATGAAACCTAACATGTGTTCAAGATTCTGCAGTTCTTATATTGTGTATATGTTGTTTTAACTTAACACGTTTATATTGACTTAAAACTGGTGAGTGATTTATAAAAATATGTCAAAATAAATTTCCTCATAGACACATATGTATCTTTTTTAGATTTTTTATTTTTACTTATTCATGAGAGACACAGAGAGGCAGAGACATAGGCAGAGGTAGAAGCAGGCTCCCCAAAGGGAGCCTGATGTGAGACTTGATCGCAGAACCCTGGGATCACGACCTGAGTCAAAGGCTCAACCACTGAGCTACCCAGGTGCCCTGACACGTATTTGTATCTTAAGTGAAAATAAAACAGAACAAAAAGCATTAGTTTTATTAATATGAAAAACATTTTGTATACCCACTGTATTATTGTTTAGAGTTCTCCAGAGAAAAAGCCCAATGGGATGTGTATGTGTGTGTATGTAGTATATGTATGTGTGTATGTATATATACGCATTCATACATCACTCCCAGAAACTTATTTTAAGCAGTTGACTTATGCAGTCGTTGAGGCTTGGCTAGTCCAAATCTGAGGGAGAGACCAGCAGGCTGGAGAATCAGGAGTTAAATTTGAGTTCAAAAGCTTTCTGCTATAGATTTCCCTTTCTTCAGTGAAGGTCAAACTTTTCTTCTAGGTAGGTCTTCAACTCATTAGTCCCACCGGCATTACAGAGAAGGATCTGCTTTACTCAATGTTCAGTGATTTAAATATAAATCTACCAAAAACACCTTCACAGAACATCCAGAATAATGCTTGATCAAATATCTAGTCACCATAGTCCAGACAAGTCGACACATAAAATTTACCATTGTACCCACTAAACACTAATGCCAAACACCAATAACTGAAGATAATAACAAGATGACTGAAATTTAGTCCCTACATTCGGAAAAACTAACCCTTCAGTGTTAACAGCAAGGAGCTTTAATTGCGTAACAAAATTTATGGTACTAGAACCTAGAGAATATGAAGATGAATCTGGAAAGTAAAGAATAGCTGAGACCATTGTTTTATGTGAATTAAAGAGATCGAGAAATTTCACATTTAAGATTTGAACATAAAAATGACATGGTCTGGTTTACATTCTTCAGAAGACAATCCTTTAAGTAATATAGGGTATATATTTGAGCAGGATGAGACTGAAGGCTGAGAGGCCAGTTGGGGGGCTAGCAGAACTATTCAGGTAAAAGATGGTGAGGGTCTGAACGCAGGCAGTGGTGGTAGAGAAGAGAGTGGGGAAGATACCTGAGAGATTTCTGAAGTGTAAGTGGTTAAGTTTTCAGTAGCAGATAAAATGCATGGGGGGGACAGGAAAGAGGAAGAAAGAAAACCTGTAAACAGAAAGAGAGAGTGAGTTTAAGGAGTAGATAGCAGTCATATGCTGTAGAGACAGCAAAAGAGAAAGACTGAATATACTGATTTGTCGAAAAAAAGATTTGTGATGAATGTGGCGAAACCATTTAAAATTTTTTTAAATATACAAGATATGTACATGGCTAAAAGAATTCAAATAGCATAGAGTGAACAGTGAAAAAAAGGTAGTCTTTTTTCACTCTGAGACCCTTGGTTTTTTAATCTTTCTTTTGAATAGCATCTCCCACAATGAGTTGATATTTGTACAGGATTTGGAATACTGTCTAAAATATAGTGAATATTATATAAAGATTTGATAAATAAATGTCTTTATTTACAGAAATATTCTACACGTTTATACTAATATATCCCCACTTTATAAAGAAACTCAGATTTATTGAGGCATAGTTCAATGAATTTTGACATATGTGTGTTTGTATGTGTGTACACATTCGTTAACCACCACCACAATTAAGATTTATAATATTTCTGTTACGGAAATATTTGTAGTTAATCTCTTCCCTTATGCTTAGCCTGCTGGCAAGCACTGATTTGATTTTTGTTTCTATAATTTTGCCTTTCCAGAATGTCATATAAATTGGATCATACATTAGGAAGCCTTTTATGTCTGGCTTCATAATGCTGAGATTCATCTCATTTTGTTGTATTTCATTAGTTTATTCTTTTATTGTCTGTTATTGTTTTCATCTTCACTAACATTTGGGCTGTTTCTAGTTTGAGGCTATTATAAATTAAGTGGCTGTAAACATTCATGTAAAGTCTTTATATGTATTTATTTCTCTAGTGTATTCTTTATGTACATATTTGTATAAGTGCATGTATAACTTTTAAGAAACTGTGAGGATGTTTTCCAGAGAGGCTGATCCAATTTGTATTCCCACCAGGAGTGTTTGAGAGCTCTAGTTACTGCACATTTTTTCCAACTCTTGGTATTTTTGGTTTTGAGTTTTGACTGTATTAGTAGGTGCATTAATGTCATCTCATTGGAACTTAATTTGCATTTTCCTAATAACTGATAATGTTGGATATCTTAGCATGTGTTTATTTACCATTCATATCTCTTCCTTGAAATGTCCATTCAAAGCTTTGTCTCTTTAAAAATGGGATAGTTTGCTTTCTTTTTGAGTAGTTGTTAAAGAGTTCTTTACATATTTTGGACACAAATCCTTTATCAGGTAAAGAACTTTCAGTCCATGAACAAGATCTAGCTCTACATTTATTTATATTTTTAAAAATATTTTACAGCAACGTTTTCTACTTTTTCTAGAAATATTTTACACAATTTTTATGTTTATGCCTAAGTATTTCATGTTTTGGGATATATTATTAATGATATTAGTCTTTAATCCAATGGCAATAGCATTCAATTTCCAATTCTTCTTTTCTACTGTATAGAAATACAATTGGTTTTATGTATTGACCTTGTACTCTGCGACCCAGCTAAACGGAGTTATAAATTATAATAGTTTAGTTTGTAGATTGTTTGGGATTTTCTGCATTGATGACCATGTCATCTATGAATAAAAACAATTTTATTTCTTCCTTTCTGATCTGTATGCTTTTATCTACTTATCTTCTTTATTGCTCTAAATACAGAGCATCTGGTACAATGTTGAAAAGATATGGTTGTTTGTTGAATAGAAAGCAGATATCATTACCTTGGTCCTCATCTTAAAAGGATAGTCATTTCAGTCTTTCACCGCTATAAATACCATGATGATTGTAGGTTTTTTTTTTTCATAGATACTCTATATCAGGTTATTTCCTTGTATTCATGCTTTAAGAGATTGTTTTCATTTTGTTTTGTTTTGTTTTTTACTTACCAGTCCATTTTGAATTTTGCCAAATGCTTTCTCTGTGTCTGTTGATATGTTATATAATTTTCTGGTTTAGTTTGTTGTAATGAATTTCACTGATGGACTTTAAAAATTTATGTAATATTTAATAAAATTACCATTTTAACCACTTTAGGTGAACATTTCAGTGGCAAAACTACATTCACAGTGTTGTGCAGCCATCACTTTTATGTACTTCCAGAATGTTTTCATCATTCCAAATAGAAACTGTACTGCATTAAACACTAACTCCTCATTCTTCCCTTTGTCTTTTCAAGGAACCATCTTTTAAGTGGAATCATACAAAGTTTGTCCATTTTGTTGAGCTTATTTCATTTACCATGTTTTCAAAGGTTCATCCATATTGTATGTCGCATATATCAGAATTTCATTCCTCTTAAAACCTGAATAGGGATCCCTGGGTGGCGCAGAGGTTTGGCGCCTGCCTTTGGCCCAGGGCACGATCCTGGAGACCCAGGATCGAATCCCACGTCAGGCTCCCGGTGCATGGAGCCTGCTTCTCCCTCTGCCTGTGTCTCTGCCTCTCTCTCTCTCTCTCTCTGTGTGACTATCATAAATAAATAAAAAATAAAAATAAAAATATAAAAATATAAAAATATAAAAACCTGAATAGTATTCCATTGTGTGGATATATCACACTTTGTTTATCCATTCATCTATTGATGAACATTTGGGTTATTT